TTCAAACCAAGCATCACACTTAATGTAGATGACAGAACCATAAAAAAGAGAAAGAGGAGTAGCAACAACAACAGCATGGGGTATGGACTGGATAGCAGTTGACATCCAACCAGCAATTTCACTTGGAGGTGGTGAAACAACTGGCTGGAAAGGCTGCCAAAAACAAAAAAAACAAAAAAAAAATAAAAAAAAAATGACAAATGAGATGCCAAAGAAATGTATCTCAGTTTGCAAGCAAACACAATAAAAACTACTTACACCATGGATTCTGAGGGGAGAAAAAACACCTGGTTTAGGAACAGGCCCCTCGAGAGGGTTACTAGTTGGAGGGGGGCACGAGCGCCATTACTCGAAGCACAAGAGTGGTAAATAAAAAGAGTTTTAATATCTGGATTTGGTCGAGGATTTTTGCAAAGTTGATGCTGCCAATTAAGACTGCAAAACTACCCAACAAAAATTTGACATGAAAACAGTGAGACCTCAACTACTAAACATCTAAAACATGTATATGAGCAGACCTGGACATAATTCAAGTAGAGGGTAATGAACAAAACCAAACTATATATTCTTAATATTATCTGATTATTGGTGATTACCTTTGGACGAAACAATGGATTTGCTCGATAAGCTTTTTCAGCTCAACCAGCATAATGTTGCGTGCTGACTTTGTGTCACCATATTTGGAGAGCTGCTCATTCTGCCTGAAATGCTTACCCCATAATGATTTGCGAAAGAAAAAAGACTCGGAACTGAAATGTAACTGATAAATAAAAAAGTTACCTAAAATTGTCAAGAGTCAAAAGCTGGGTGATCTCTTTAAAAAGATCTTCATTAAACGAGGCAAACACCCTGAGATCTTTAACAAGAATCTCGACAGCTTTCATGTGGTCTTGTCTGAAAATAATTAGACATAGTTTGCAATCAAAAGACATATGCAGTTGTGTGTGTGTGTGTGTGTGTGTACAAACTGCTAAATCCGAGCCAAGCCAAGGGCTTCTAAATGAAGTTTCGAAAATCGACGGCTTAGTCGAAGCTCAGATCTGTAGTCTCATCAGAGCCAAATTTAAATAGTTTGCACATAGTAGGAATCAAGCAATTACCAAGATATTTACTACACAATTTCAACAGAAAAAAAATAAAAAATAAAAAAAAATTAACATGCCAACAAAAAAACCCTAACCTGAAAGCCGACGGCCGTCACCGGTCAGGCACTAGACCATTCGCCAACCCACGCCATCGATTAGAGGATCAGGCAGCCAAACACCGAGATCGAGACGCCGCTTTAACCGGAGGGGTCCAGATGTCGCGCCGCTGCCAGAGCCATGCCTCCGCCGGTTTTTTGCCGGCGAGGAGCACGGTCGGAGGTCGGAAGTCGTGAATACTGCCGGCGAGGTCGTCTGCGCAGGTCTTGAAGTCATCGTGAGTGGAAGTGAGTAATTGCCGGCGAGGAGGTCGCGCTTCGTTTACTTATTTATTTTATTTTTATTTCTCTTGAACGATTAAAAGTGGAAGTGAAAAATTTAGGGGAAATGTGTTGTGAAAATTGAAATATTAAATTGGAGGAAAGAAAAGAAAATGTGAAATTAAAATTAAGATAGGGGTATTTTAGTATTATTACATGCTAAAATGGTTAAAAAAAATGTTTTTTACCAAACATGGCCAAAATTTGTGTTTTGTAAATTTATATGGTCATTTAGTGGTATTAACACTTTTATTTATTTTATGCCTCAGATTCAATGGTAATAGTTTCTAATACTATCTTGTGGTGATTTTTTTTTT